CTGGACGATGTTTCAGTTGCCACACTCAAAGCTATGCTACCAGGGTTTCTTTATGTCGTACTGATGTTATATTAGCTAACGTAGCTAACCTAGATTAACGAGTTGTAATGGGCTGTGACATAAAAACGAGCTAGTACTTGGTAGGGCCCCCTCTAAAAATATGTGAAGTCTAATTGGGCTTTGGGACTTTTGTTTTATTTTCTTATTATTAAGGGCTGTAAATGCTGAAAATACAGTAACACCTGGTGGTTTGTAAAACATCAGCTGTAAAGCACATCACTCTGATTTTGATTGTGTTTGTCTCATATGTACATCAGTCCAAAGCGCCTGAGTGCTATTTATTAAATCTGTAACATGTTTGTTTAAAAGTGCTATAGCAAATACTTGTATGTATAATGTATTTAAGTAAAATTCAAAAACAATAGTCATTCTCTATCAAGCATTAATGTGAAATGTGAATGCATTTTATCTAGCAAGGCTCTATACTCACGCTTACTGTAGTTTGCATGGCTTGAATATAGATATATCTAATTTATAAATGCTGTTCAATTCACTCACTGCTCTTGAAGTAAAATGGTAGTGTGTAGCAAGACTGAGCAAACTGTCCAAACAATGCTAACTGTACAAGAGGTGTCAGGGTGTTGAGTTGGCAAAATATCTGCGATGTTTAAATCTGTAGGAATTCAATGATAACATCAGTTTCTTGGTAATGACTGTAACTTGTCTATATTGCAGCTGCTAATATTGCAGAAGACTTACTACCTTCACTTTCCCGTGATGACATCAAAGATCTGTTTCCTGGTCCTGAAAATTTGGTGAGGCGCCGGGCTATATGGCTTGTTGTGAATAAAGATGAAAAGGTAAGGTCTTTCACAGTATGACAGAACTGTTTAACAGTACAACAGATTTTCCAATATCACAGAAATGTTAAGTAACTTCAATTCCGGTCCATATACATAATATTTCATTATTTTAGACGTTTCTGCTTTGAGTCCCTTTCAACAGTCCAACTTGCTTTTTTCAAGTTTTTTTTTAATCCACTAAAAGATAATGTTTTTCAAAAAAATGTTTGTGTAAATGTATTATAGGTGGATGCTACTCCTGTTCCGAGCCCTGCCACTGCTCTTCCCGTCCAGCACCATGCCACCTAAGAAGCTGGGCTTAAGCAGCGAGGCTCTTTTCCATGTCCTTACGGTGAGGTTTACAGACTTACTGCAATATTTCATACTATATGTTTCCGTTATTCACGCATACATTTTATGTCAGGTTTAGTTACTTTGAGATAAACTTTTTATTATTTCAAAAGGTCCAAAGGGTAAGTGTTCTCCATAGTGTAGTTGTAATACTACCTTCATTTGAACTACAGTAGCTGTGCTGCATTCAGTATTTGCAGCACTCAACAATGACAGTACAACATCTTCTCCCTCTCAGGGATTATTGTGACTATATGTTTACGTATATATAAGTACAATTATGATTTCACCAATATCCTAGTCCAGGTCAAAGTGTGTGTTACTTGTGATGTTTTTCTAATCCTCTACATTGATTTGTGTCATCTAGACTTCAGAGGATCCTGATGGTTTCCTGCGCCAGCGACCACTGTCTTGCCCAGTCGTGCTTGTTTCTGAGGACAACTGCATGATCGCCATTGGAAACATGCCAGTGACCACCTTCAACATTGAGAGGTTTGATGAGGGACTGCTCTACCTCATGGCATATTACTATGCCCTGCACCTCACTTACCCAAAGTGTATTTCCACACTTCTGTCAGTACTGCAAACACAAATTCTCCAAGATTCCATTCATGAGCAAGATTTGACCCCTTCCTACAAAAAGGCATTGGCGAGTGGAAGTCCTTCATTGAGTGAGTGAGTGAGTCTCTTTGTTTCTTTTGTGGTTGTTTCTTGACACCGCCTCACTCTCTATCTCATGTAAGACTTTCCAAGAAAGTCAAAGTTCTGTTTAATGTAAGGTTTATCACTGTTAGCCACATTTGTTGGTGAAACTGAAAACTTTTCCTATGGGATAATGTGCAATAACAGCAGCTGCAAAGTTGTATTAATTGTTATAGTATGCTGCAATAATAGCAGATATAACATTCTGTTTTTTGATGGATGTTTAATTAAGCAATTGTATTGCAAAGTGAATAAAAAGTATTGAAAATGAGAATGTTTTGGTGTCTTGATTTAAGACAAAGTCACTTATTTTTTTAATGCTATTTGAAGAAATTGTGTCTTATTTTAACTGCTTTTATACTTGTTATTAATCCCAGATTAAGGTGTCATTTCTTAAAGTTAACTCAGTCAAGAGACCAAAATTCTAATTTTAAGTAACTTAATCTGGGTTTTGTGGGTTTTCATTGCTTTTTATAGAAGAATTTACTTAAATTTAAGATTTTCTGTCTAGTTTTAAGGCCCATTTTAGTCTGTCAGAGGAAGAACTTTGTGCTTATTTTAAGAATTCTTGTCAAGTAAAAAAAGCTTACCCCATTGACAGATTGTTTTGCTAGATATAAGATAATTTGATTGAATTTAAGAATATTTTTGCTTCTTTCTAGTAGGTCTGTTTTTGCAGTGAACCAGGTAAAATCCCATTGAGATTAAGAACGTATTTGTTGTTATATGAACATAGCCAATGCATATAAAAATTGTCAATTAGTGAATTTGAATAGCTGGGAAATTATGGGTGGGATTTTCTAAACCTACACATCTGCAGTGCGCCACCTGTGTACCTCTCACTTGTGGTCTGATACTATGGTTGACACAGTGGTCAAATGTATAACTAGTCTGGTACCTGTTACATTAAAAATAGGATTGGTCTCAAGTTTAGGTGGATGATGGTGTAACCTATTTTATTTCATCTACTACTACACTTAAATGTGCAGCCTGCAGGATGTTTAACTGGTTAGAGAGTAACAGATCAGAGGTATTAAAGGATGTTTAACAGGTTAGAGAGTAACAGATCAGAGGTATTAAAGGATGTTTAACTGGTTAGAGAGTAACAGATCAGAGGTATTAAAGGATGTTTAACTGGTTAGAGAGTAACAGATCAGAGGTATTAAAGGATGTTTAACTGGTTAGAGAGTAACAGATCAGAAGTTGATTTAGATAGTTTCACTCCTTATTTAGTGAGTAGTGAGCTAGTTTCTACCTTTGTTCATCGTATACAACCTCCTGGACAACTTTCAGCTAGTCTGCATGGAAGGTGGCAACCCTATAGCTAGCTAACGTTAGACAGTGATTGATAGACCGTTTGAAAGTGTCCCACCTAGTTTTGTGTAAAATAGTCTTTGTATGGTTGTTGCACTACACGTTTAGCTACACTGCATGTGTAGCTTGCAAACTCAGCTACACATTATTATTATTCTAAATATTCTGTAGCATGTAGCCGAGGTCTAGAGCTGACAAGGTAAACTGCAGGTCTAGGACTAACTCTTACATTAGCAACCCACCAATATGTGTGTGCCTGTACTGTCATGGTAATTAGTTTTTATTTTAAATCCCAGCATGGAAAACCGATGAGTTTGCAAGTTTACCTAGCATGATGGCTAATTCATTTTGAGAGAGATTTGTTTTTCTCAGAAATAATTTTAAACATTTATATTTTTTTATGTTCTATGAGAAAATACTTTCTCTCAAAACTTTTTTTAGTCTCAAATATTATTATTTTTTGCTCTCAGTGTGATAACTTTTTCTCTCAGATCATTTATTTTCTCGCATGTAATAAAGACACAAATCTAACTCCATACTTAAGGCGCTGCCAGTGTTTGTGTGGGATGAATGCGCACCCTGCTGGTGAAACTAAGCAACTACATCTGAAATCTACTAGGCTGTATCGCTCTACACATTGTTAAACTGTAAAACTGGGGATTGCACTGTGTGTAACTAATGGGCGTTACATACATATTAAAAGTAAGAATTAATAGTGAATTTTTAACTCTGATACACCGTCACAAAAAAATACACATTTCTCCATTATGTTCTTTCTGTAAAACAGAAATCAAATCTATCTCATCTATTCCTTAAACAGACTCACAAGAGTTCTGGATTGAAGTTGATTTATTCATTTTATTAAAGTTTAACCAGATTGACACCCATTAATGTCAGAAAGTCCTGTTTCTCATTAATGTTTTAACGAATTGAACCAATTGAATGATATTTGAATAAATCTGGGTAACACTTTATAATGAGTACACACTATTAAGCATTAGTTAAGCATGAATAAATACTGAAATCACCATTTATAACGCATGAATACACATTAGTATGTAGTTTATAAACACAGTTAAACATGTTTTATTCATCATTGATAAGCACATTAGTTATGGATTAGTAAATACTGAATCCATCATTTATAAAGCATGATTCTGCTGTAAATAGTCATTACTATGTGGTTTATAATCACAGTTATAAATGTTTTACTCTTCATTGTACTGTACATTTCTGCATGCACTTGCACATCCACTATTCAGACATGTATTAATGATTAGTGACTGTGTTAGCAGATGTTATATAAAAACTCACAACAAATTCATTTTCTAATGATGGCCTATAAACAATGATTAATGCAGGAATTCACAGTTACAAAGCACTCACTACTCCTTAATTAAGTATTTTGCACAAGCTTATCTAAAGTGAGCACTATCTATGGCTTATTAAGCATTTACAAATGAGATATAAAGGCTGACAATGCCTCGAGACTCACAAAATGTTCAGTTATCTTAACAGACGAAGGAGAGACACAACACAAAGGGATATAGAACATATTGTATTGATATTTACTGCAACTTCCCAACATATTGTATGAAGACGAACAAGGGTGGTTTATGAAGACATGCTATTGTTGTGATCTTCTCTGTTTGGGACGTTGAGCTAGCAGTCAGCGGCTCTAGTGGAGAGTATGTGTCTTTGTTTGGTAGCGGCGGGTCGGTAACGGTAGTAACGTTAGTCGGGGATTTGTTCACACTTTAATATTTGAGTCATAAAAACACTTTCCCTCTAACTGTGCTTTCAAAAAGAAGATTTGAAAAACAAGCAGCCACATTTGATCCTAAAAATGTTCATTTTTCTCAGAGTTATAGAAGAAGATCAATTCTTTCTATCATTTCTTTCATCTCTACGTCTGCAGGCTGCACATTACCCTCACACATGATCCCTTCATCCCAGCATCCTTTGCTCTTCTCTTCCTTCAGCCTCCTCTTCCTCCTCTATTACAGTAAACACATCAGGTTGGTACTAACTAACATCAGCTGTGTGTGATCCTGTACAGACTGAACTATCTGGTCAGCAGTGAGAAAGTTTCTCTCTCCCTCCTACAGAGGACACAGAGACACTGAGGAACCAGACCTGAACCAGAACCCGAACCCAGGATAAAGAGGTTCAGTGAATGTGGTGTGGAAGGTGTGGAGGTGGATCAGTGTGTCAGAGGAGACTGTGTAGAAGGACAGAGTGCCAGCAGGACAGTCCACATACACTGCTACTCTACCAGAGGAGGAGGAGGAGGAGGAGATGGATGTTCCTCTCTTATTGTGACAGACATAGTAACCATCATCAGAGCAGTACAGACTCCAGGACTGATCATTCCTTCCAAACCAACAGTCTCTACTGTCTCCTCTCCTGCTGATTCCTCTGTAACTCACTGATATATAAACGTCTCCTCTCCACTCGACCTCCCAGTAACAGCGACCAGTCAGACCATTTCTACACAGCAGCTGTTCCCAGTAGTTAAATCTGTCTGGATGATCAGGATATGACTGATCCTCCTCCACATGAATCATCTTCCTGTTGTTGTCAGACAGTTTGATGTTTCTGTTCACTGTGTTTGTGTCGACTGTGAGTTCACAGGAATCTGATGGAGAGAACAAGACACAATACAGCTGCAGTTATTGATCTATCATCTGATCATTGATTGACACTTTGATGATGACATCAGAGCTGTGAATGAGTGATGTCACAGTGTGAAGATGGTTGAATGTGTGCTGCTTTGTTTTCACACTTACACTTCCACAGACCTGGTCTCAACCATCGGACTCCAGCAGGCTCCACCCTGAAAGGAGGAGGGGGGTCAGAGCAGCATGGAAACATGGACATTACATCGCTCTCATACACAGAGGTTATTCTCTACAAATGGACTTACATCTTCACATGGAGCACTTATTATTAATCAGCTGATAGTCTTTCAGTTCAGTGGAGCTTCTTCTTATTGGCCGATGGCTACAGCTCATTATTTTCACTTATTGATGATCTATTATTATTATCAGTATTATATTTGTAACAGAATGTTTACATTGATTACCTTTAAACAGTTTAACATGGGAGGTGAATTGGTAAGAGCCGACTAAATATAATATTTCTCTGCATTTACTTCGACTAGAAGCTAATGCTAGTTAGCATGAAGGATTTATTAAGTTGAAATAGTTGCCAAGTTTCCCTTTAAACAGTTTCTCAATAAAAGACGGCACGCAGAGTCTTCAGGTGGGTTTTTGATGTTTTACTTAAGAAGATCTGTGAAACTGTAATATAAAAAATAAAAAGTATGTCAGACTCTGTTCTGTCTGTTTCTTATACATTCATAAATACAACACGCATAAATTTACACCAAAGTTATAATTTAGCTCAATGCTAACATAATATAGAAAATCCCATTGATGGGCTAGCGCATTAGCATCGGTCTCGCTATTCACTTTACACACAAATGATAGTAAACCGTAACAGGTACGTCATACATGAACTTCACACACTAACGATATATTACAGACTCATGTCCCGTTAGTGCTCTTTTCAGTATTAATACAATGAAAGTTGAAGTTGTTCTTTTATTTTGCACATTTGGAAATGTTGCATTTATGTATGCATCCAGTGGGTAGGGTGGCCATTCGTCCGGTTTTTAAACACCCTGTCCGGCTGCAGGCGCAGCCTTAAGCCGGACACTCGTTTGTCCTCCTGTTGAGAAAATAACTAAAAAGGTCGCCTTCTGACACATTACCTCGTTAGTTTAATACTTATTGGCTAAAAATGTGTGTCAAAATAAGTAATTTCATTGGTTACATTTTCGTGTAGTGACCTATCAACACATGACTAATTTTAATATTCAAATGAGCCATGTGTTGATTCCACACCCACCAGGCTGTCAATCAAACTCTCAGTGACAGAGAAGTAATGTGAGTTAACGTCGGTTGTTGGACTGAAATTCAGAAAATGCTCATACTCATATGTAGATAGGCAAAGTCACAAATCTGAAACAGAAGGTGCTGTATTTTTTTACCCTTTATCTATCCAGATAAAAACATTAAGAACAGTTTCTGTATGATGTTTATTAGACCTATGTAATCTGAATTGGAAGGGCACGTTGTCATGAGCTGTATCTTGTATATTTATTATTAGCTATGTGGTATGTGTATGCACCTTTATGTAATCTGGTGGAAAAACATTAAAATTTAAAACGGGATCATACCAAACAAATATCTGCTTGCGTGTCCCTGTGTATGCAAAGTGTCCTCCTTTTTGATGTGAAGGAAATGGCCACCCTACCAGTGGGGCATCACAATAAAATTAGGCATAATAATTTGAGAGTTGGACAATATCGGAATATCGGATATCGGCAGAAAAGCCAATATCGAGCATCCCTACCTTTAACCTATCCACTGGTAAAAAGTGCTCTTATATCTCTTAATAGAAGATTGCAGACTGAAAGGTTCAGGATCATTTTCTTGACATGCTGGTTCTCTGGACTCTTGTGGTGGATGATAATCATACCACACACCCATTTCATCCTCTTCCGAGTCATATTCTGACCCCATCTTGTCACCAGGGTCAGGGGCCAGTGGTACAGTGTAGTTCTGGATTTCTTGATGCCAAGCATGCTCAACAGTTCATGAATGAGCCGACTCTCGAAATCCCTGCCTTGATCTGAATGCACTCTTTTTGGTAGACCATAGTGGACAAAGTACTGTTCCCACAGAACCTTAGCAACTGTTGATGCTTTTTGATCCTTAGTTGCAAAAGCTTGAGCATATCGGGTGTAGTGATCTGTAACTACAAGCACATTGCAGATGTTTCTGGAGTCAGGCTCGATTGACAGAGAATCCATACAGACTAGATCCTTTGGTCCCTCACTGTTAAGATGTGACAACTCAGCAGCTTTCTTAGGCAGAGCTTTCCTCTGAATACACCAGGGGTGTCTTCTTCATCCTCTCAGCAGAGTTCAGACTCATAAAAACTGTCAGCGTTTGAATTAAAGAAATAAAGTAAGTTTAACAACACTTAACAAACTCATGAACAGCACAGCGTCTCTCTATCTCTCTCTCTCTTACGTCTCCGTTTCTCTTTTTAATCCTCTCAGAATCCGGTAGGTTTCCTCATACTCATCTCTAATAGACTCTGATTGGACAATGACAGGTTGACACCTGAATACTCAAATAAACAACAAAACATACAGCAGGAGGTGTTCAAGGACTGCTCAGAACACAGGAAAATTCAATATCTTCTAAAAAACATAGCAAATATACATTTCCCTGCATTAAACACAACTGATCTCACATCAGTAGTAATTAAGAATAGAATTTAAAATCCTCCTCCTCACCTACAAAGCTCTTCATGGTCAGGCCCCTTCATATCTTAAAGAGCTCATAGTACCCTATTACCCCTCTAGAACACTACGTTCTCTGAATGCTGGGCTACTTGTGGTTCCTATAGTCTCTAAAAGTAGAACAGGAGCCAGAGCCTTCAGTTACCAAGCTCCTCTCCTGTGGAACCAGCTTCCAGTTGTGGTTCTGGAGGCAGACACCCTCTCCACATTTAAGAGTAGGCTTAAGACGTTCCTCTTTGATAAAGCTTATAGTTAGAGCTGGATCAGGTGAGTCCTGAACCATCTCTTAGTTATGCTGCTATAGGCCTAGACTATCGGGGGATTTCCCATGATGCACTTAGCTCCTCTCTTCCTCTCTCTTTCTGCACTAATTCATGTCCCATTAATGTATGTTACTAACTTCACTTCTTCCCCGGAGTTCTTGTGCTTTCTCATCTCGCAGGTTCTCATCGATCCTGGTGGAGCCTCAATATTACTGGTATTATTATTATTATTATTATATATTATATATCATATATCAAATATTATATTATATATATATATATATATATATATATATATATATATATAATATATAATAATAAATGCCCAAAAGTCAAATTATTCTAGCAAAATATGTCTCCTCATGCCACGAACTGAGGACAACTAAACAAATTAAATTCTTTTTTTTTCTTTTAATATATACACACACTCTCTCGCTCTCTCTCTCTCTCTCAATAATATTGTACAAGCAAAGTATTCAAATATGATACAATAAATCAAAGATATATACATTATTATTATATGAACATTATATTAGTTATATACAGTGTGTGTGTCTGTGTGTGTCTGTGTGTGCGTGTGTCTTAATCATTCACTGTCCCTCAGGTTGTGGCATGTTAATACATACTGGGCAGCAAGGTGTGCCCGCTCTCCTTCTCCGAGGAGTATTTTTAATTTGGAGAGGTCGTTCATCTCTTTGAAATCTGGTATCAAAGAGATGAACTTGTTCAAATAACTTTTTCTAGTAATATTTAATTTTGTACATTATAGGAGAAAGTCTCTAGATCTGTCTGTCTGTCTGTCTGTGTCTCTCTCTCTCTCTATCTCTGTCTGTCTGTCTGTCTGTCTGTCTGTGTCTCTCTCTATCTCTGTCTGTCTCTGTGTGTGTCTCTCTCTCTCTCTCTCTCTCTCTCTCTCTCTCTCTCTCTCTCTCTCTCTGTCAGGGCAGAAAAGGAAGTTTTTCCTTGCCGCTGTCTCCAAGGTCTTGCTCATGGTGGGAACTGTTGGGTCTCTGTAAATAATGTTATAAGGAGTTCGGTCTAGACCTGCTCTATTTGAAAACTGTCCTGAGATAACTTCTGTTATGAATTGGTGACATACAAATAAAACTGAACTGAACTGAATTGTAGTTTAGGTGACGCCTTTAGTTTTTCTGGACTAAAAGGTAACACACGCTGATGGCAGATGACATCCATCAAAATATCTCAAACTATTTATGATATGAGCCCACAAACCTGTAGCGTGACAACATTGACAAATATCAATCCACCATGATGCTCACCAACCCATCAGGATAAACCACTGTCCTATTTTCCAATGTCGAAACGAGACATCGGTCCAGAAAAACAGAAATGTCATCACCTTTCCTCTGTCACCTGACTACTACTACTGTATTGATCCGCCTCATACCTGAGAGTGTCCAGTCTCCAGTGTGGATCCTCCAGTCCAGCAGACAGCTTTGTTGCTGAGTCTCCTAGATGATTGTAGCTCAGGTCCAGCTCTCTCAGATGGGAGGGGTTGGAGCTCAGAGCTGAGACCAGAGAAACACAACCTTCCTCTGTGATCAGACAGTGTGACAGCCTGCAAACACACAAAACAACACATTACATATTAAACATGTTCAAGGAAAGAGACTCAAACTAAATAAACAAAACAATGTTTTGAGACAATGTTAGGAAGATTACAATTTTATCCATCAACATAATTCAGGTTTAAAGTGGTTATTAGTTGAACAGGTTGACGAATCCTGACCTGAGAGTTTCCAGTTTACAGTGTGGACTTTTCAGTCCAACAGAAAACAGCTTCAGTCCTGAATCCTGCAGGTCGTTCATACTCAGGTCCAGCTCTCTCAGACTAGAGGACAGGGAGCTGAGAACTGAGACCAGAGAAGCACAACCTTCCTCTGTGATCAGACAGCCTGACAGCCTGCAAACACACAGAACAACATGTAGTCCGGTGTAAAAGTACAGGGGTTAAAACAAGTTAATTTGTAATACAAATAACTGTTGGTAATTGGCCGTAGGTAAGGGAGTGAGTGAGGCACTGTTTTGTTTAGAGTTCAGTTAAGTAGCATATTTGATCTGAGTTTGATAAGTATAGAGAAATCGTATTAAGGGGTAAGAACTAGGAATTTTACCGGAGACCTGGAATTATTTGAATTTTGAATAGTATTTTAATATTGCCAATTCTATTTTGCTTATTATAAGTGTCTATTTTTCTACAGTCTTTTGCCAATTTAGGTAAAAGTCATTTTTGTTTACAACTATAATATTTTTATTTGAAAGAAGTCTAATTTGAGTAATTGTGTTATTTCATTTTTAATATCTGTTAATTAACAAAGTAAATATTATTTGTGTTAAACTGGAAAACAACTGGTTAGTTAACTATTATTTCATTTATTTGAAAGAGTTGTCTGGGGTCAGTTATTTAAAATAGTGTAGAGTACGTGTGAATAGAGCCACTGCTTAGTCTAACAAAGTTGTTGGTTATTTATAAAGTATTAGGCCATAAAAAGTTTCACACAAAACAGGGAAACCTTCGTGGTAGCTACCTTAATAAATCAAACCCCAACACCCCATCATTTAAGTCCAAGGTGAGTTGCTTTAACTTAAGCATTTACTGAGTGTTGGGGTGCTACAAACACATTACATAACAAACATGTTCAAGGAAAGAGACTCAAACTAAATAAACAAAACAATGTTAGGAAGATTACAATTGTATCCATCAACATAATTCAGGTTTAAAATGGTTATCAGTTGAACAGGTTGACGAATCCTGACCTGAGAGTTTCCAGTTTACTGTGTGAACTCTTCAGTCCAACAGAAAGTAGCTTCAGTCCTGAATCCTGCAGGTTGTTGTTACTTAGGTCCAGCATTCTCAGACAAGAGGACAGGGAGCTGAGAACTGAGGACAGAGCTTCACAACTTCTCTCTGAGAGGTTACAGCCACTCAGTCTGTAGAGACAATGATCAACAATAAGAAAAATAACATTTGTGACCAGCACTTTATCACTCAGCCAAAACCAAAAACACTTTAAATTAGTTCTGTAAAAATATTAGCTAGTGAGGAGTTCCCAATGTTGGTGATATATAATGTCTTTATAATCTCTCTAAGTCGAAAAGATAGCGATAGAGTATTTAAGTGATAATACAGAAATCCAACTATTTCTCTACTTACAGAGCTTTGTTGGAGGCTTTGACCACTGGCAGCAGCCTCAGAAGAGCCTCCTCTGAAGCAGAGTATTTCTTCAGTTCAAACACGTCCAGATCTTTTTCTGATGACAGTAAGATGAAGCCCAGAGCTGACCACTGAGCAGGAGACAGTTTATCTGTGGAGAGACTTCCTGAACTCAGGGACTGTTGGATCTCCTCCACTAGAGAACGATCATTCAGTTCATTCAGACAGTGGAACAGATTGATGCTTCTCTCTGCAGAGAGATTCTCACTGATCTTCTTCTTGATGTACTGGACTGTTTGCTGATTGGTCTGTGAGCTACTTCCTGTCTGTGTCAGCAGACCTCGTAGGAGATTCTGATTGGTCGGCAGTGAAAGACCCAGCAGGAAGCGTAGAAACAAGTCCAGATGTCCTTGTTGACTCTCTAAGGCCTTGTCCACAGCAGTCTGGTGGAGATATTTTAGATTCCCTTTGTCTTTAATTAATTTAGACAACCAGGATGTTGTTTCTTGTTCTGCCAGCAGATTGACTCCAGAGTTGATGAATGTCAGATGGACATGAAGAGCAGCCAGAAACTCCTGAACACTCAGATGGACGAAGCAGAAGACCTTGTCCTGGTACATTTCTTTCTCCTCTTTAAAGATCTCTGTGAACACTCCTGAGTACACTGAGGCTGCTCTGATATCGATGCCACACTCTGTCAGGTCTGATTCATAGAAGATCAGGTTGCCTTTCTGCAGCTGCTCAAAAGCCAGTTTCCCCAGAGACTCAATCATCTTTCTGCTCTCTGGACTCCAGTGTGGATCTGTCTCAGCTCCTCCATCATACTTGATGGTCTTCACTTTGGACTGAACCACCAAGAAGTGGCTGAACATCTCAGTCAGGGTCTTGGGCAGCTCTCCTCCCTCTCTGTTCTTCAACACATCCTCCAGAACTGTAGCAGTGATCCAGCAGAAGACTGGGATGTGGCACATGATGTGGACGCTTCGTGATGTCTTGATGTTGGAGATGATTCTACTGGCCTGCTCCTGATCTCTGAACCTCTTCCTGAAGTAGTCCTCCTTCTGTGGGTCAGTGAACCCTCTGACCTCTGTCACCATGTCAACACACTCAGCAGGGATCTGATTGGCTGCTGCAGGTCGTGAGGTTATCCATAGGTGAGCAGAGGGAAGCAGTTTCCCCCTGATGAGGTTTGTCAGCAGCACACCCACTGAGGTGGACTCTGTAACATCAGTCAGGATCTCAGTGTTGTGGAAGTCCAGAGGAAGTCGACACTCATCCAGACCGTCAAAGATGAACACAACCTGGAACTCTTCAAACCTGCAGATTCCTGCTTCTTTGGTTTCAGTAAAGAAGAGATGAACAAGTTCCACCAAGCTGTACTTTTTCTTTTTCAACACATTCAGCTCTCTGAACGTGAATGGAAATGTGAACTGTATGTCCTGGTTGGCTTTGACTTCAGCCCAGTCCAGAGTGAACTTCTGTGTTAAGACTGTTTTCCCAATGCCAGCCACTCCCTTTGTCATCACTGTTCTGATTGGTTTATTTCTTCCAAGTGAGGGTTTAAAGATGTCTTCCTGTCTGATTGTTGTTTCTGGTCTGTATGGTTTCCTGGATGCTGTTTCAATCTGTCTGACCTCATGTTCATCATTGACCTCTGCATTCCCTCCCTCTGTGATGTAGAGCTCTGTGTAGATCTGGTTCAGAGAGGTTGGGTTTCCTGCTTTAGCAATCCCCTCAAACACACACTGGAACTTCTTCTTCAGCTTAGATTTAAGTTCACGTCGGCACGCTGGAGCAACAGTTCCTGAATGAAGAAAGAAGAAATGTAGTTAATCAGAAGCTCCAATAAATCTGATGGATGTAAACTTTAAGACCTCAAGATGGTATTTATTTTCCTCCCCCGTTAAATCTCTTCAGCTCATCAGTTGTAAACAGTTTCTGTTTTCAGTCCAGAAGAAATTATAGATCTGATACAATGTGTGCATCATATTATCAGCGGAGTTGTAAAAGTAAACTTCTCCCATGTTGCCTCCATTTCCTCTTTCCATCATGTTCAATCTGTTAAAATCCTCTTACTGCTCTGTAGACAGCCAGCCAGCTCTTCCTTCTTCATTCTCCTCAGGAAGTGCACTGTGATCTTCAGTAATGACTCTATGCTGCTCCTCCTCTGCTCTTCATCCTCACCATCCAACACCTCCTCATCCTCCCTCTGACTCTCTGAGCATTCTGGGTAATCTGAACTCAGAACCTTCTGAATCTTCTTCAGCTCGTTCTTCACAAAAGTGACAATGTTGTCCTCCAGCAGCTGGAACAGAATATTACATGAATAACTCAAAGTCAAATCATGGAAGCAAACATCAGATCCATGTTGGACAGACTGACAATCCACTGGTCTAAAAAGTGCACAAATTATGTGAACACAGTAGATGTAAAAGTAGTTGTTGTCCATGTACAGACCATAAATATGGAGTCCAGGTGTGTTTGATGCTGCTGGGCAGACTGACCACTGGGAACCTCTGAGCTCTCCTGGTCCACTCTGTGGAGGAATCATGAAGAATGAGCTCACATTATGTCTGTCCCCACAGAGACAAACACAAGGTAAAGGTCCATGAAGTGATATTTGGATGTGAACAGTGAATCTGATGACTCCCTGTAGTGGTAAAGGTTTACTAGTCCTGCTGATTCCACTGAGAATCAACAGCTCAGTTTGGTTCAGTCCCAACAGCTCTCACCAACCCCTCCATATAGCTCTCCCTCCCTCACTGTACACGGCTGAAGTGCCCTGGAGCAAGGCACCTAGAGCCTCCAGCTGCTCCAGTGGAGCTGCTCAGTGTCTGCTTGTATCAGACTGGTTGTACTGGGCAGCTCCCAGTGTGAATGTGTTTGATTGTGTGAGTGTGAGGGAGCTGCTGCTGAAAGAGAGTGTTGGTGCTCAGAGAACTTCATCTGAGTCAGTAAAGGTTTAAAAACTGGAGATCTCACAACTGAGAGTCTGATAAAAACACATCATTTTATTTTACCTTTAGTTTGAAATCCTCACCTTTGATCAACAGAGTGGCGGCCATCTTTGAAGTATATACGATTTTCCATAGAGCGGTCACTCTTCATGGACACACAGCTGGGTTCAGGTTTTTTCCTCCTGATAGAAAAACAGGATCAGTTCTGCACTGCACCCACAACACACTGAGACAGAACCTGCCAGTGACTGAATACACCGACTGTACACAGTGTATTTGTACCCAGGGAGTTCTTGGTTAGGATTTCTATAAAGTCAGTGTTTGATTTAGACATGTTTCACTGTGTATTTTAAAGCTGTATTCAGTGCAGTGTGCAGTATAGGCGGGGAAATTATGGAGTGGAGTGACCATATCGGTCCAATTAGGATAAAAAGAGGAACAGACGTG